CTTTTTATGAAAAGTCAAGTAGCCTAAAAGAACGCTATTTTGGTCTACGATAGGGTCCTACACCGCCTGCAATTGTATAAATTTACTCAGGTCGGTATGTCCCCTCTGCAACAGACCCTGGGCAGGTCAGAACCCTCACACCCGATCATCATCCTTTCCCTCTACAGTGGCAGCGGCAGCAGCAGTCGCCGCTGGAGTGTCGCAGGGCATCAACCTGAGCGGTAAACACACGATCTTTTTAGTGCCGACAACATCTTTCAGATCTGTTTTACATATCATCACATACTTCGCTTTAGTTCATGTTCTCGACTCTTTTATTATCTGGCCATTTGCCATTTGCAGAACGTTTAAAAAAACTTTCGCCGTTTGAAATCTCTGACGTTGCTCACAATTTTGCTTGAAGCTTTATAGACAACAATGACTTAACATTTTTAAAATTTGGCAGCAAAACCTCAAAAAAAACGAAATGACGGTATTGAGGTATTTTTTTGTTGGTACGCAATATTGAGCGTTTATGGGTTGACTAGACAACAATGACTCAACATTTTTGGAAATCGTTTGAAGCTACAGTTTCCTATTTTGCTGCTGCAGGTCAACCGGGATCATCCGCGAGCAATGATTTCTCCTTTGTCCAGATGCCGGGCATAGGGGTCCAGACTCAGAACAGCAACAGCAACAACAATGGACCCAACTCCCCACCGCCATTGCCACCCCGCACTAATTAGAACAGACACGGCTTTGAAACTCAGAAAACTTTTATTTTCAGTTAAAAAAACAATCAGCATCTTTTCAACAAACGAATATCAGATGTGGTGACATTTTAGAGGAGGACTACGATATCAGTCAAATTTTTACTCAAGTAGAATTAAGATTAGTTTCTCAAATAATTCGTAACGAATATTAACAAAGAGTTAATTTACTTTTCCAAGCCAACGAGAATAACATAACAGAAATAACCAATTGCTGAGCTAGTAACACGGAATGTTCCAATCACAAACATATTTTGAAAAACATTGGAAAATTTTAAGGCGACTTTTCTACGGTTTTTTGATAAACGCACAAGTGGTGAGGAAAGTTCACAAACTTTGCTTAACGAAAGAATTAGTAATACTTTGGATGCTGCAGGGCTTATGTCGTCCGGCCTGGATCGATAAACTCAGTATATACATGTTTATTTTTGTTATTTATAGTTCATGTTAAACTCTCTCAGTTGGTCGGAAGGTTGACCTTGATAGGCGCAGAACATGAACTGTGTCTGAACTATTGTTCAGTCGGAATTAACATTGTCTATCAACTAGTTGTTTTTACACCGCTTCGGTCGAGATTCATTGTTTATCGATCCGTTCGGATTCGAGAATTAGATGCTCATACTCACATGGCGCAGTCAACAGGATATTCTAAAAACCCATTGAATATTAACCCATATTGGGAGAAGGCGTCTGTCGAACCGCCATTAGAGTGGTCAAAGTGGGCAGCAATACTAGAGTTGGCAGTATTCGCAAAGGACGGAATTGAGATACGAAACTTACTAAGAGCCAGTCCACTATTAGTCGAACCCAACGAGGAAATTCAATTAGATTTCGCTGGGCCTCTTCCGGACGAATTAAATAGGGACACGTACATTTTGGTTGTAATAGATAAGTGGTAAAAATTCCCTACTACAAAAACTTGTTAGGAATACAACAGCGGACGTTGCCCTTAAGTTTATGCAAAGATACATTTCTAACAACGGGGTACCTAGGAGATTAAGGTGCGATCAGGTGCAAACTTTTTGAGCAAAAAAATTTCAATTTTTTTGCAATACTAACAACATAAAGCTACTGTTCGCCCCGGTGGATGATCATAGAGCAATAGGGTTAGTCGAAAGAATGATACAAACATTGAAACGCAGGCTAGCGGTAATGAAAATTGATAAAACAAACACACCATACAAACTTGCTTCCGATGTGGCTAAAATTATTAAATCATTGAGAATCACACCACATGGCGTCACCAAAGTTTCACCGTTTGAGGCACATATGAGACGAAAACCAAATACACCTCTTTCAAACGCAGCAACCAGTAGTTCACCTAATATATTAAACTGGGAAAGCATAAAACATGCATGATTAGATAGAAAGAATCTTACAAAGCCGCCATTACCTGCAGAGGTAATGCATAATCTACAACTGTGGTCGGAAGACGAAGTATCCATCAGAAGACAAGACAATAAATCGAAACCACAAATGCCAAAGAACCTTCAAATTTTGAAGTCTCCAAAACACAGGTGCAAACTCTAAAATTAGAGAAATTGCCAAGGATAGGTTAAATGTAAGATCAAAAGGGGTACAAGCAACAGTAGACAAAAACACGAAAAAACGTATAGACCAGATGGCACGGAAAGCAATTAGAATAGCAACGAAAGTTAAAGATCCAAAAACATTCGAATAAAAATATAAATCCATAGACCGAAAAATTCTAACTTATACTCCGCACACCGCATGGCTACAAACACTTGGAAAACAACCGAGACTATTAAGAATTTGTGGAGCCGCATTTTCCCAAGCCCTCCAATATACGGACCGTGCAGACCTTCTCGGCTTAGTGATTACGTCGCATATAAATCCGGACCATGCCTACGTTTTTTTAGACATTGTGAACCCTACTGCCCCTCAACACCCGATGTTCCGGGAGGCCAAAACAACAGGCCTGCCAGTAAAAGTAACTCGCCAAAAAAAGACAACAAGCCAGGCACACCAAAATAGTCCGACAAAAAAAGGCAAAATCGAAAGGAAAACGAACAGGTGGGCGTCCGATACACAAATTACAGACAACACGCGACATGAGTCTACAAACAGAAAATAAAGTCGAAAAGTCGACCAATAACAACACTCGGGAGAAATCAACATCCAGACTTTCAGACAATGACGAGCAATCGTCAACATCCTCGGAAGACATCGCACCATCGCCTAAAAGGCGAAACCAAAAGCGTACGCCCCCCACAATCTCAACAGTACCACAGCGAAAATCAACACGAAATCGCCAATCGGCGCTGTCAACTGCCTTCGGAAACCCCGTACCGATTAACACAATAAGTGACAAGAACAATGATGGACAGCAGAAATCATTCCGTTTCGAAATCGATTCTCCGCCAGATAAACCAAAAACGGAAAATTACCCGAGCTTAAAATCGCTCATTCAAGAAATGGGATTCGCAGAGAAATCACCACAATATCAAGCCTGTGTAAAATTCATTGAAGCCATTAGTCCGAAAAACAGTACGAAGGAAACAGACGTGGTGGATCTAACTTCACCAACAGAAAACGTAACAATCGATAACAACAACGATATTTTACTCGTAAAAGATAAAGAACAGAATGAAGGGGACTTTGAGAAGAAAGACGAAAAATAGCAGGAAGACAAGGAACATGAAAACAATGGGGAGGACGTCAACAGAGATGGGAAACAATCAGAAACTAGATAGAAAAATCAAAAAATTCAAAAGTCCTACGGGGACTATAGAAACTCAAAATCAAATTAATAATGAAATTAAAACATCCATACAGAATGTCACTTTTTAGGGTAACTGGCACTTTTAACTCATTTTCTGAGTTGCCTGAGTCAGAGAGAGTGAAAAGTATATAAAGTTGCCTAGGAAAAATAACTGTCTGCTACCCCCATCCCAATTAGAAAATTTCCAGTGAGCCAGTACAGTTATTCAAAAGCCTAATGAATTTTAAACGCTTTGTCAAACTTACCTTTAATATACAGATGTTGCTCAAAACAGGTAACTGGAAAATGAATCGGTCACTCTGTACATCTAAAATCTCTTATTATTGAGTTTCCAGGTTATCTTTTTTGGTTAAGCTTCGATTCTCAGTGTTTAAGTTTTTGAGACTGAGTTAAGGTTTAAAATTATTTTGTTTTGAGTTACAAGTAATTGAAGCGTTTTCTCAGTTAATATCGAGTTATGTTGAAATTACTGTGTCAATTGTTGCGCAAAAAATACTGAAGTGAGGATCAAAATCCAAGATGACTGTATTTTAAGACAAGGGCGTGCTCACTTTGATACAATTTGCTGATCAATGAACCCAGAGTCTTAAGTGTAATTTTTCAGGCATGATTAACAAAAACAGGCAAAACCACCCATTTGTGGGGCTGAAGTTCTGGCCCAGTATTTGCAAAAAAACTTGCACAAAATTATTTCAGATGGAGAAGATCTAAGAATATTTTTTGCATATAAAGCGCAATAAAAAAAGCGCATTTTTTGCATATAAACCCCTGATTTCGATAAAATATAGAAATTAGCGTTCCAAAATATAAGACTTTACACTGCTAATTTTTTTGATAGTTTGTTTCATTAAGCTAGCTTTAGTTTTGATATCTTCCCCACCCATGTATATATCTTCGCTCGAACATATTTGGCTACGATTGAACAAAAGCTAAAGCATTTTTCTGGTCGAGACGGTCGAAATATGAACAAAATTAGTCCAAACGGTCAAAACATACCAAATTTTGCCGAGAGGGTCAAAATTGGAAAAAACAGCTTGACCTGTGGTGTGAACTCCCAAAATCTTTTCGATTAAAATCGTCAAGCCTATACTGCCCTATAGTGAATTTCCGCCTGGACCTGGACCAACATAAAACTCTTTTTTTTTATCTTCACAGACGGTTAATTAGAAGCTTGGACCATTACGATGATCAGATTTTCCCGTACACTACCAGGGCTACTGCATTCAGCTGAAAAGACTAAGACTGAAAATTCTAAATATGATATCAATTGTTTTTTCAAAATAAGGTACTTTTGTTAGGCATGCATACCATGGGTTTCGGGAAAGGTGAAATAGTCTCTTGAAACGAACTCTTCTGACCGTAGTATCTTAACACTCTTGTGCATCTAGAGGCGTTCAATTTAAGCAATTAAGTTTTGTCTACTTCGAGTTTTCTATACTTGACATACGTTTTTGATACGCCGTTTAAATTTTTGTTATTAACTTACAAAAAAGTTTGATTAACGGAGTGTTGTTTTTAAGCAGCTGGTGATAAAATTTGAACGCAGTTTTTGTAGTAATCTTAATTCAAAAGCTTACACATAAAAAGGTATACAGTCAAACCATATATAGCAAATATGTGTACTAAAAATCAAAGAGTTTGACTAATTTTGTCAAATAAATTCTGATTGCAACCGAAGCCTTTTTGATTTGATATGATCTGATCTGAGATTGAAAATTGTTTTCATTAATCACTAACTCGAAAAATGTCATCGAGCATTACTATGAGCAAGAGTAGTAATGCAACATCTGCTAGTTTGACTGCATGTCCTAGTTGTGGTGGATCCTTCACAGCGACTGGTGCACAACAGCCCCTGATCATTACGTGTGGGGATACCTTTTGCAGGTGAGACAACAAATATTGTTGAATAAGTTAGTATTTTTTTGTGTTGTACAGTTCATCAGATCAATAATCGTAAATTTTTCATCCGCTTGTAAAGAAAAGTCTCGTGTTGATCTAGCTGAGGAAATCAGTATTTCACCAGAACTGTAACAGTAAAATGTAGCTTTTGTATCAGGCACTGTTCATACCCATTCTTAGCTCTGATTAGGGATAAAGTCAGAAGCACAAAATTACAAATTGCACAAATACTAATTGCACAAAATTACACATTGCCCAGATTCAAATCCTTTACCTATCGCCTCATAAGTTTTGCGCATTTTTTTTGCTTGGAAAGTATATCCGCGTTTGTTTTTTATTCACGGCTTAAGTAAAATTGAAAAAAAGTTCCTAAGAAGTTTTCAGCTATTACACTGAAGCATGATTGGTAATGCTCTCTTTCTGATCCCTGATTGCGTATTGCGATTCTAAATCTCGTTTGAATTCAAAAACTTTGATGGCTCATAGTTTTCTATGTTTGTTCTATGCCACAGTTACAGATATGCAATTCTGAACATTGCTGTAAAAATGCTACGATAATGATTTGCTCTACGCAAATTTTTCGACACAGCAAATTTTTCGACAAATTTTTTGCGACCAGCAAAACATTTGATAAAAATTACTTGGAAAAGTTCGAGAAATTGACATACGACATCAATTTTTATCGTAAAAGATGAAAAAAGAAAACAAAGAATAGTTTTTCCCTATAATCAACCATTTGTTTCGCTCAGAAATTTTGCTGATTGTTGAGATGAGTTACAAACAATCTGTGCGCTAAGTTAATGCTAAACGCTTCACTTCTAAAACTTTGACTTAAAATTGCTTCTCGACCGCCGTTTTCGATCACAAAACTGCAGCTACCCGGCTTTCAAAGTCGAAGCACCTCGGCCCAGGTAGGAATGACACCTTTTTAGCAGTTTAATTTAGGAGGTGTGTGCAGGATCTTACCGACACATGTGGTACACTGGTATGTCCTGTGTGTGGGGAAGTGAATGAAGAGGAGGAAGGGGGAGGGGGAGGGGGACCCACAGGGTACAGTGTGAACAGACTAGCTTTGTCTCTTATCAGCACAAACACTAACTCAAACAACGCCAGTGCATCTAAGGAGATCCCGGATAACTTTCCAGCCGAAAACTTCAATCAAACACAACACGTGCGATCTCATTCCGCTGTTGAGGTTACTATTCTTTGGTTATACAGAGTTGTCTTGATTGTGTATTGACTTTGGAAGATCTTGCCAAGATGTTATTCATGGTTTATCCAAGCAATGTGGATATCTTGCCATTTATTGTCAAAAGCAACAAAAGATCTTTGACAGATATTCAAGTTACTCATTCAAGCTGCTTAAAAATGCTAATTCTCGCATTTTACCCAACCCAAGGTCTCGCCAAGATAGCCATTGTGATTTTGTACTTTATCTTAAAAGACAATAATCAACAAGGATAGCCGGTTACTGTGCATGTAGCATAGAATGTTCCAAACAGCCTTTGAAAAAAAATAGGAAAAATAATATATATTTTTTCAAATTAGTGTCGTTTTTTCTGCGCGGTGTGATTAGAAGAACTAAACGAAAAAAAAACTGATGCATATTCGACAGTCTTTGTACAATAGACAAATTGAAAAACTGTTTTTGCAGAAAAATGACGAGAAAAACAAAAAAAAATCTTTATAAATTTTTAAATCTTAAAAAGTTTTCAAATTTGGATTCCCAAAATGACATCAAACAACTGTTAAAATAAATCTACTTGATTGAAATTAAATTTTACAGCTTAAGTCAAGCATAAAGAAGATAATGTAGGCCTGCTTGCTTGCTTTAATTGCCCAAAATTAGACGAAAAATCAAAAAATTCAAACCGGTTTTTCTCAACACCGGAAAATTGTTTAAGAATATTTTTCCATGTCGTTCAAAGGGTTTTAGTATGCTGTATTAGTCGACTCACTACAATGATCATTAGAGGTAATTGATTTTGTGTGGAAAAAAAACACCCGAAAACAAAATTTCTCCAATGGTCAACAACAAAGATAGCCAGTTCATGTGCAGTTATAAAAAAAAAATACAAAAAAGAACAAGGATAGCTGTTTGCTGTGCAAGTAGTACAAAATGTTCCTACCATTTTCATTAAAGTATATCGTTTCCCCCTTTTCATGTAATGTCGGTTTTAATACATGGTGTGATTTGAGAACTATAGAGGCGCGAAGAATTTTTATTGTATTACACAAACTTAAGGAAATATGTTTTTATGACAAATATGTAAAAAGATTTAAGCTTTTGCAACTTGATTTGCACAAAAATGTTAAGTTTTAAGAATTTTTTTCGCTAAGGAAGCATTTAATTATTCATCCAAAACTAGATTTTTTCCTTAGCTAATTCAATTTTTTTTAGCCTAAAAGACTATTTAAAAGTGAAGTTTCATATAACGACCGTTACTCGATCGCTTTTCTTCGAAACTGAACTAAGAATCAAAAGGTTTAAGCCCAATTTTCTCGACAATGAGACGTACGTTCTTTTAGAATTTTTTATATGTAGTTGGGAGCACGAATGAAAGGGCTTTAATGCCTGATTTTGTATGGAAAGCAAAAAAAACTAAAACACACCCGAATACAAAGTTCCTCTCTCTCTTATCAGTGGTCGAAACAAAAAATTAAAACTGGTTCCGTTTTTGTCAGTGGTTTGATGAGAGGATCTGAACTTTAACCATAAGCATACTATTAAAAGCCTACCTTATGCTTGCTTGCTCGCTTTATTCGCTCGAAGTTAGACTAAAAATAGAAAATTTCAAACCGTTTTTTCGATGCTACAAAAATATTTGGAAGTTTTAAAATGATTATTTGTGATACCTGATTTTGCTTGGAGTAGAAAAACTAAAAAACCAATACGGCCGATGTGACAAAGTTCCAAGTCAAAGTTCAGTGGTGAGAACATTTACACAGAAAGGTTAACTCATCTCGTGATGAATTTTTGGCATGATTTCTTGTGAAATAAAAAATGAAAAAGTGGCTCCTGCGAGATTGGTGTTAGCTGGTCGTAAGAGAAAACACATGTGATTCAGAACTTCCCCAATTATTAGTGCTATTCTGGAAATTGTGAAAGAATAATGGGCAAAGATTACAGCAGTTTTATGACAAATCTAATTTCAATGACCTTTTCTGCAGCGTCAACGATCTCCGAATAAACTCCACCCCTCTCGCCCCCTCACAGCGGGAGGAGGTGGGGCAGAGCCCCTCCTCGTCGCCCCTGCTGTGCCCCGCCCGGATGTATGTGGGGCATGTGGGAGGGACTTCACCTCAGGCAAGGATGAGCTGCAACACTGCCCCCATTGTGGGCTGGCCGTGTGTGGCGTGTGCAAGGTCAGATAAGTTTAAAGCTTCTAAAGTGCTAATGAATTTATATGCAAGAAAATTAAGGATTGCTAGGGTTAATTTTTCACAGCGTCATCAGAATCAAAATAAAATTTCAGGAAAATAAAAAACACGGATGATGCTTATGTTCAATAAATTAAGATTATAAGATTATTATTCATCAAACGAAAAAGCTTGTCGGTTGTCTTATCACTCGCATTTTAGTTTTTTTTTAAAATTTGTTTTTTATGCAATTTTTCCACTTTCTCAAGCAACAAGACTCACCACTTTCTGATTTAATATTCTACTCAATTACTGCAGTGCTTTCCGAGCTCTCCCATATAACTATAATGACCCTTTTTTATCAAATTTTCTGCGCCATATCCATTTTAAGGCGTTTCTAGGCACTTTTAGTTTTAGAAAATGTTGATCAAAATTACGTTTTATTTTGGCGACGCGCGTTTCCTCCCCCCTCAAAATTTGTGTATATTTGCGCCTAAGGCGCCTTTAAGAAAATTAGGGCCAGTCAGCCAAAAATGGATCAAAATAGTACAAAGAGGGGGACCCTTTGGGTCGACAGAGGGTCGAAACCTTGAGGGGGGAAGGCAAACGCCCAAAATCCGCTACATATTATGAGGGGTATTCATGGGCTACAGATTATGAGGAGTATTCTGATATAGACATCGCTTGACTTCTTCTTTTTGCATTACCATGTCTTGGGGTGGGGAGGGAATAATTCGTTCATGTGGGGGAGCGGACCTGGCAAACTTTTATAGAAATCTTTGTCATTCTTATTGGCTGAGGCTAGGATGATCTTCAATCGTTATTTCGCTGTGTAGTTTTCCATTCAGGCTGTAACTTTCCTTTATATATGTACTTAACTTTTAAGCCAGAGAATTGGAAATTTTTACAAAATCCAATGAACTCGACAGATTTTTGTGGATATCACAATATGTGAGCTTTCCCATGTACTGCTTCTGGGCCAATGGTGCTAAAATTAAATTTTTTGCCGCTTGTGGTAAAAAAAGCGACCATGTGATAACTGTTCCTGCTGTGTTTGGATAATATTGTAAAAAAAATACTACTATGAATTTTTTGATTGATCCTAAATGCTTGACACAAAACAAAGCAATTTAAAACTTCGGATCAATTTTTGTTCCGACCATTTTAAAAATGGGGAGGAAGTTCGTATTCGGGTGTTTTAGTTTGTTTTGTTTTTCGAGCAAAATCAGGTACCACGAAAAATTTATAGTAATGGGTTCAGTGATCTATGATTTTTAAGCTCTTTCAGTCGTTACTCGAACGACATTCAAATAATGAAACAATTTTACCATGTTTGAGAAAACTCGTTTGAAATTTTTAGTTTTTTTTTGGTCTAGTTTCGATCAAAAAAAGCGAGCGAGCAGACTTATGTTGCTGAGTTTAAGCTGCTTACAACATTTTTTCTGCTCAATTTTACCTAAACTCAAGTAGTTTTGGGAGTTTTTTAACGCCATTTGGGAATGAAAAAAATCAAAAATTTCGCATTTGAAAAAAACAGTTTTGATTCTTAATTTTTTTTCTTGTCGTTTTCTACAAAAAAAATTGCTGTTCAGGTTGCTCGTTTTACTATTAGTGTCGAATATGCAAAAAAAAATGTTTTTTTTTTACTATGGTCGGAAATACAACATTTCAGCAAGGGCACCTCATTGTTCCGACACCCTCTTTTACAAATTTCTGGTACCACAAGCACTTACACGCGTTTGCTCAGGCGGATTAGAAGGTTGTCCACAGAAAAGCGTGGGTATTTGTTTTACCTAATTTGAGGTTTCGATGTAAAATTTTCTGCTTTTTTTTTCTTCGCCTGAAAAATGTCCAAAGAATTGTTCTAATGCGTTTCGAAATTTGTCGAAAAAACGCGTCTTTGTAACGCTATTTTTGAATTGCAATCGGATTACTTCTGGCACAGCTATCAGATCTTTTTAGATGGATTCATTTAGTGTACCTGTCTCAAGGAAATCCGATATTAACGATGATGCTCATGGAAAAAGCTTCAGTTGCTCTGTGTGCGCGTAAATCTCCACAAACCGAATCGTAAAAATATTGACTTTAAAACAGTTGAATTACAGAGCGTTTTCTCGGCAAAACTAACACTGGAAATCCATAATTTTACAGTTTCAAAACGTATTTCATCATCGGTAAGATCGGCCACAAAAAAAACTGCATAACTCAAAGCAAGCTGCAAAAATGGCCAGTATTTGTCCTTGAGACAAATTGCTCTTTTTAAAGGTCAGCCTTAATCAAGGCTGAACCATATTAGAGCGAAAAGACGGTTAAAATAGGTTTTGGGGGGATCGAACCTGGTTACGGAGCATCCCATCAAGTTCGGTGCATATTCGAGTTCTAGAAAGGAAATGACCTAGGCGGGATTCGAACCGGCGCCGAACCCGTCGGGACGCACCATGCATGCGCTCGGCTACTGTCCCTATATGCATTTACATTTTGGTTCAATTTTATATGCATTTATACTCTTGTTTTATATTTGCGCTGCAACATCCTCCACCCCTAAACAAGGAAGAACGGGAGCGAGCTTTACGGTCGGGCGGGTCAGTTCGCTCGTAACGGTCTTTATATCGGCGGATCTCGCGCATCCGTCCTTTCCATAGTGCAGTTTTAGGATACGTGCGAGTGGATAATGTCCACGTGGAGTGTAAGGCTCTATGACCCAAACCAAGTCGCCGGCTTTCAACTTAACGACTGACTGGTTGTGCCACTTTGCCCTCCTATTGAGGGAAGGAACGTATTCCCGCATCCCCCGTGTCCATATTGCGTTAGCGTATGATTGCGCTCTGGCGAACCGCTTCTTATGGTCGAAGTTTTCTTCGAAACTTAGCGACGGAAAACTCGCTGCGTGTTGACCAAGGATAAAATGATTCGGGGTCAACGCCTCTAGATCTAGCGGATCGGATCTAACTGCTGTTATCGGTCTAGCGTTGAGTGATTGCTCAACAAGGCACAGCGTGGTTCTTAGAACCTCCTCAGTTACTCTTCTGTTGCCTAGGATGTCATACAAGACGCGCTTAACACTCCGAATTAATCGCTCCCAGGAGCCACCATGGTGCGGTGCGCTGGGTGGATTGAATTTCCACTTGATCCCTTTCTGAACAAAAACAGCGGGTGCGAGCTTGTTCCAACTCTCAACGCAAGCTAAGAGCTCTTTCTGAGCGCCAACAAAGTTCGTGCCGTTGTCGGACATGATGGTAGTCAGAGTACCGCGACGCGCGATAAACCTTTCCACGCCCATCACACAAGAGCTTGTGTCGAGCGAGGGGACCACTTCAATGTGCACCGCTCTAGTGGTGAGACAGGTGAACAAAAAACCCACCTCTTTTCCGTACTTCTCCGGATTGGAACTAGGAACGGCCCAAAGTAGTCGACACCTGTGTTAGAGAAAGGAGGTTGCTTGTAACCCAGCCTTTCAATGGGCAGATCAGCCATCATATGAGTTACGGTTTGCGCTTTGCGTTTTCGGCACACAACGCAAGTATTTTCGATGTTTCGCAGCAACCATCGCAAATTTAACACAACATACTTCAAATTAACCACCGCACGCATGTAATCCAAGCCTTGATGGAAATTCCTAACGTGCAAGTGCTGAACCAATAACCGAACAACCGCGTGACGTGCATCAAGTATAATCGGGTGCTTGCTATCGAAATCGGAATTAACCAAGCGGCTGATGCGCCCAGTCGAGCGAAGGATGCCAGCTGGTCCAATGAACGGCGAATACTTGGCGATCCGACTATTCCTCGGGATAACTTTACCGGCTCTTAGTAGTTTTAGCTCACTAGGGAATGTCTCGCCCTGGGACAGGTAAATGTGCTTTTGTTCAGCAATATCCATTTCAGACGGGTCTGTAATTTCTAATATACTCGACCGGAAATGTTCATGGGATGGCAGCCATCTTAACAAAAATGCTACTGCGCGTTTGTATCTTACAATCGAATTGAATCTCTCCCATTTTCCGAATGGAAGATTTTTCTGTCAAAACATCGACGACGAAATTTGACGAATTTTCCAGACAAATGTCGATATCACACGATGGTCCTTTGAGTCTTATTTTATCGATAACCCTTGTATCGGGCTTGAACAGCCAATCAGTTGTTCTCAATATACTAGGGCCATTAACCCAGCTGCTTTCCTTGAGGGCTTCCGAAGAAATCCCTCGTGTACCGGTATCAGCTGGGTTATCACCGCTAAGTATGTGATGCCACTGATCAGTGCTGGTAGACTCCAGAATCTCACCAGTGCGATTACCAACAAAAACGGGTAGTTTACTACAAGAGTGAAGCCACTGAAGAACAGTGGTACTATCTGTCCACATGAAAATATCCGTAACTTTGAAAGTAAGATCTTTCAAAGTTTCTTCTTTTAAGCGGGTTGCAAGAAGAGCCGCTTGAAGCTCTAACTTTGGGATAGAAAGCGCTTTCATAGGCGCGACGCGGGCTTTGCCAAACACAAAGGCTAATTCGGTCTGATGGGAGCTAACAAGTCGCGCACGAAGGAAAGCGACGGCACAGAAAACATCCTGCGAACTATCACCGAACATGTGAAGTTCTATTCGGTCGAAAGGTTCAGTGAAATAGCTGCGAGGTATTGTCAGAGAACCTAACAAATGAAGGCCTGAGTGCCACTCAAGGAATTGCTTTTTGATTTCCTCTGGCAGATCATCATCCCATTTTTGACCGCTGATTCGCCAGATATCTTTTAATAGAAGGCGAGCCTTCACGGTATACGGAGCCACTAACCCAATTGGATCAAAAACATAAGAAACAAAACTCAACACGGTACAATGAGTGATTGCTTTGTCTAGTGGACGATCAACCCCTCTACTAACGACTAAGGTATCCTTGACGTGATCCCACTTAAGACCGAGAATGCGACGACTAGTCTGGACTCGCACAAATATCTTTAACAGACGAATTGGACTCACGGTTGTCCGGATCAAGAGCGGTTGTTACGCCGGGCAC